GCACAGTTTGTAATAGCTAAAGCTTGGAAACAGCCCAAGTGCCCATCAACTGGAAACTGGATGAAGAAAATGTGGTTTTGGGCAGAGGATTTAGCTCAGTGTTTTCCCCGCCTGCTGCACAAACGCAAGGTCCAGAGTTTGACCCCCTGTACCAAAAAAAAAGAAAGAAAATGTGGTGGTTTTTTTTATAAAATGGAGTACTACTCAGCCATAAAAAATGAGAAATTAGAGACATTTATAGCTAAATGGATGCATATTGAGGTCATACTCTTAAGAGAGATAAATAGGACAAAAATGTGTAAATACCGAATAGTTTCTCTGGTGTGAGAAACTAAAAGCATAAATAAGGATTAAAATGAATGGTTGATAATGTAAAATAGGAAGAAAAGGTCCAAAGGGGTAGGGGAAGTGGGAGGGGTAAGGGAAACGAAAAATTATAAGAAAAGAAAAAAATGGAAACAGAGACTTTGTAAACAGGGAAGGGTGGAGGGGTGAAGGGAGGGCTAGGAATGGGGAAAAAATAAGAACCAAGATGCATCATGTACAGGTACAAGCACCCAATAATAAGTGTAAATGTACTGTATACCTAAAATGTACCAATAAAAGAATTTAAGGGGGAATAAAGAACAAAAATAAATAAATAAAACTGATTTCTCCAAAAAAAAAAAAAAGAGAGAGAGAATGAATTAGGAAGATAACAAGGAAAAAGACACCGTTCCTCTTTGTCTGTGGCTCATAACATAAGAAATGACCATAAATAATTATAAAGGGGTTATAATCCGAGCTCGGTAAGAAACGCAGTGTTTTCCCTGGATTGTGGCCCAACGATGAACACCGTGTGAGGGGCCTGGAGAGGCTGATGAGTCATCCGTTAGGGGGAACAACGAGGGCCACACAGAGCGGAGCAAGGATCGTGTCGAAGCAGGCGGTGCGTGTGGAGGGGCAGCTGGGAATCCTCCGGGTGACTTGCGCGGTGACAGGATTCTCCTGCGACGCCCACCGCGGTCTACACCTTTCCCTAAACCTCTTCTACCCCGCTCGAGACTTGCCAGGAAAGAATGAAAATCACAATTACCAATCTGCACCCTTTCATGGCTTCTTTACTGCTTTGCACACTGAGAGAAAAGTAGCCCCAACTCATAGGATTTTGTGAGTTGAATGCGTTAGTGAATGTGAATGAGTCCGTCTTCCTGAAGCATACTAAATACCGTCGAGGTGCTTCTCGCTGATGTTCACTGCACTCAGCGTTCTCCGGGTAACACTCAGCTGTTCTTCAACCACGGTCTGCGCTTGCGTTGTGCCTCCTCAGGTCCTGAGTCCCTCCCGGGAGAGGCCGGCGGGAAGGCTAACCGTGGCACTCACGTGACTGAGGACGCGGAGCCGGCCCTGCAGAACATTACCGGAAGTGGTCGGCGGCTTCCGGTCTCCAGGTGAGGAAGTAGACAGCAGGAGAGTCAGCATGCACCTTAGTTGATGGAAAGCGAAAACGATAAACAAGCTGGGAAGGCAGCTGAGGAAAACTGCTCAAATAAATAGACACATTTACTGTTTCAAGGTTATTCGGTAGCGATATTAGGGAACATCTGTTCAGTACCTACCATTTATTTCATAATATTTATTTACAATAAATTCATTATTTAAGATTGTACAGATGTACACGGTTTTGTAAATGGATGATGTCCACGGTATAAATAATGACTCGGCTAAGGTTCAATTTGTGGCTACTTTTTCGGCTTTCTTTTTTTCCACTGATATGAATAAATTGGAGAAATAATTTTCACTGTATACTAAGCAGGTACATTATACAGTGAACAGAGAGAGGGAACAGAAAACAAAGGTCTCCAAAGTTAGTCTATGGAATCTAGCAGGAGATCTCAATAATTGACCTATTTAAAGATTATAATTCTTCAGATTTGTATAAAGTCCCAAGACGTATTAATACTGAAATTTCCCAAGGTAAAACAAACGCTTCTTAAAGTGTTATGGAAATCGTGGGCAGCTGTATATTACTGAGGGCATCCAAATTCGTAAGAAAAATACAGTGAGTGATTTATTTTTATTCTTTATTTTTTTTCAGTACTAGGATGGAACCCAGGCCTTCACACAGAGCTGCATCCCTCGTCCCTACCCCTATCCCCCAGTCTTTTTAAACTTTGAGAGAGTATCTCACTGAATCAGTTGCCCAGGCTGGGCTTCACCTTGCAATCCTCCTGTCTCAGCCTGCCAGAGTGCTGGTCCACAGTTTGAAGAATCAGCCCACAGCCTTTCCTGACCCCAGGAGTGTGTCATTTCTGTACTACTCTACCCTTCGGTAAGTAGAGCTTACCTTTGTGCTAAGCCCTTTAGGCAGCTCTCGTTAGTAACTTAGTTAATAAAGGCATACTTCTAGAATTTGGGGCTTTGCTGGTGAATGAACAAAGAGCCCTCTCCATGGAGAAAAAAATAAGGGATTGGGGTGTGCAGGTGGGAGGATGCTGACAAAAGGGGAGTTGGAGAGACTGTTCAGGAGAGGCTTCATGGGCAAGACGAAGCCATTTGAGCAAAGGCTCAGAGAGAGGAGAGTTTGCCTCTGAGGAGATTCTGGGAAATTCCCTTTCGGGCAGAGGAAGCCGTCGTTGTTCCAGGAAAGGGCTCTGATTGAGGGAGGAGAAGCCCCGGCATCTGGGCCAAAATGAGGCGGTAAGAGACAGGCTAGGGTAGGAGAACAACAGGGCTCAGGGACAGACTGGAGGCTTGGTTAGGCATGAAAAGACGTTGACTTTTCCTTGGAGGGAGAAGAGAGCTGTTTGCAAATTTGTCACAGCAGTGACACGTTCAGATGCGCAATCGCACTTGAAAACAAATACCATAAACCCGTACAAGTATTTGTTAAAGGAGAATTCAAAAGCAGGAGGCTGGCAAGGGGAAATTGGTTTAAACTCCAAAACATCAATAGTCATTTTTTTCTTCTTTGGTATCAAGGATATATCACATACTCATTAAAACTTTTATAGTTAATGGCAAATATTATACAGACCACCTTAGTTTTAATATAAGCTCACCTGGCCTTAGAGTAATGCCTTATTGTTCTATCATGAAGATTTGCTCTTAAAAATAAAAATATCAATAACCATTTCACATGTGTTTCTTTGTTTAGCTATAAATGCGGTAAAATGTTTTGGTTCAAGTTGCAGAGTCATTGGATTTGGACCTTTCTTTTTTTTTTCCAATACCAGGGATTGAACTCAGGACCTCGTGCTTGTGAGGCAGGCATGGTGCCACTGAGGTAAATCCCCACCCTGGAGTCTGGATGAAGAACAGGTAGCACAAGGGGGCTGGGAGACCACTTGCCTCTACCCCCTTGAGTTTGGGCAACACCCAAGGCCAATCCTCCTCCCTTGTTCCAGATCACCTGGCAGGGTAATCCCTGGAAAGCACACTTGAGGAAGCCCCGACTCAGGATGACTCAGCCCTCTCTTAGTCATTCCTGTCAATCCTACCTAGAGACCAGTGAGTGGCACCTAGGCTGGGGCTCCTCCTTAAAAAATTCTGAAAGCTTGATTTTTATCTGTGTGTTTCTACTTCTCTATCATCCCAGCACCATTTTTCTGTTTGCGCCACATTTTCTTGGCTCAGACCTGCCCTGAACATATCTTCCTATGATTGTCACTAAATATAGCTCCTTTCCTTCCACCACTGGGACAGATGCTGGCAATTCTTAGCTCGTTCTATGCGAGAGTCTGGAATCTCTGCTGGACCCAACACATGGTATCATTTGGCGAGCTAGTCAGGAGACATCAGCAGCCAGAAGCAGCCCAGCCAGAAAGGAAGGTAACTCCCCTTTCAAGCACAAGTCCTGCATGGATTGCTGGCTGTGGTAGTTTAAATCAGGTTTGGTTATTCCTTGTTCTCAGACTGCCACTTACTGGCAGATAGTGTGGTATCATTTGTTAAAGTGCTTGTTTCTCAGCCAAAGTCCCTAAGAGCCAACTTTTATTGAGTAAAACACTTGCTGCTCCTCCCTAGACAGGATGTCAGGTGGTTTTATAATTGGCCAGGAGAAGTCCAGCCAGTAAGACATCCATTTCTGGACTCTTTGATCGAAAGATGAGTTGTGGTCATAGGGGAAGATCCAAAGGTTTAAAAGGAAGTGCCAGCGCCCACACAAAGCCAGGTACTTCTGGCCCTCAAGAAGCCAGCTCTACTAGGGGGTGCCCAGAGTGAGAGCTGCACAGGATTATAGACTTAGAGGATGACCTATAAGATTCCTGTGTGAAAACCGACCCAGGGAAAGGTTCTATACGGCTTCTATGACCAAATCCCAAAGACTCCGGCCCTATCAAGTCACAGCCTGGAGCTGACAGGTTCACTGTCCACCAGGAGATGCCCTATAATGCTTGTGCTAATGGGTCAGGGATTGTCCCAAGAACAGGCCTGTTAGGATCCCACGACTGAGTTTTTTTTCTCCTATCTACAGACCTACCACATGAAACACTTCATCTATTCCTTCTGAATCCCCATGCCAATGCCTCCTCACTCACTGAGAAAAGAGATCTGCTACCCTTTGGCAGCCCAATATAATGCCATGCTTCACTCAGGTCTTTATTGTAATAAACAGAGAAAATAGTCAGACATGCCTTATGTTCAAGCCTTCACGGCCCTCTACCAGAGGCCTGATCTTTGTGCAAGAACCAATTCTCCTTCAGGAGCTGATGCTACTGAAAACTCCTTCCCATCAGCTCCTCCTCTCCGCAGGGCTCCTGCTCAGCAGCCTGCTCGGTCAGTACACTAAGATCAAGGCCATCTCCTGAGCCCGCCCCACACCAGGTCTGGGTCTGCCTCCCACAGGGCCACAGGTTCCCACAATCGAAGCAGCCACTGTGCTGCCCCTTCAGGCAGTAGCAGAAGTTGAGGGTGCAATCCAGGGGCAAGTCCCTTTTTCAGTTACAGATATTCAATAATGCAGGAAAACCTGGGTAGATTTTTCTGGTGATTTTGAAAAGTTTGCTGACAGTTTCCATACCTGAACCATGGCTTTTGATCTGACCTTGTGAGATGTCCAGTTCATCCTGGAAGATGAACAGCAGTAGAAAGAAAAAGGATTACAAAAGCTGCAAACCTAGCTCATGAAGCCTTCATGGCTCAACCAATTGATGCACTATTTGGACCCCAAGAGGGGTCCAAGTGGGATTATAACAGGGTGTGGAGAAACCAAATGAGTATTTTAGCCATCTTGGCCATTTTATTGCGCATGCTACAGGGGATGCCCAAACCTGTGAGCTACAGTAAGTTCAGGTCTATCAGTAAAGGCTCTGCTGAAAATCCAGCTGCTTTTCAACTCAGGCTCGAAGAGGTATTCTGAAAATACACTAATTTAGAGTGGAGTCTAGGGAAGGTCAGATTATCCTAGGACAGTATTTTACTTGGCAGTCAGCTCCAGATATTAGGAGACGGCTCCAGAAACTACAATAGGGCCCACAAGCAGAGATAAGTCATTTGGTTAACATCCCTTGTTCAGTGATGAAGGAGGGGACAAACGAGTTGAATAAGGAAAAGAGGCAGGATGAAGCCATGCTTGCTCTAATGGCTAAGGTGCAGGATAAAGCCCACAGCACTACGGGAAACCAAGATAATCCAGCGTGATAGAAGCAAGTCAGAGCGCTTCGGATACAAGCGACTGGGGCCCTGGGCACAAAGTATGCCACTAAAGCCCCCAAATCCTTGTTGGGCCTGTTAGGACACAGAAGCTGGCCCTTGGCATTGGAGAAGGGAGGACTGTCCACCAGGCTGCCCTCATTCCCAGGGAGGAATGAGGTCATCCACCTCCATGGTGGCCAGTGACTGACGGTGTCTGGGGCAGCATGCATAGCTCCCACACAACAGTATTCCACGTGCCTTACAGGAGCCTCGGCTGACTCTTGAAGTAGCAGGCAAACAAATGATATTTCTCTGCGATACTGGAGTGACTTATTTGATTCTAATTTCTTACTGCAGTGAGCTTTCATCCCATTCCAAAGTTGTGGGGCCTGAAGGAATGAACTGAACAGCTTTCTTTATCCCCAGTCTGAACTGCCAGTTGGGAGAGTGCCTTTTCCAAGCTACCTTCATGCTGATACTAGAGTGGCCTGTAGCAGTAATTGGAAGAGATATACTCTTCCTGATTCAAACCTCTGGTAACCCATGTCCTGGCTGCTAGGGACCTAGCCAGCCTGACCCCATGGGCCTATGTCTGTGCCGGAAATTGGTCCCAAAGCATGGTATAATGGCACCCCAGGGGGTCTGTTAAGGCCACTCCAGCAGTCATTCAGCTAAAGGGCCCTACTGTCTATCCTCACAGGAGACAGGGTCTCCTTAAGACAGAGCTATTCGAGAGCTAAACCCCATTATTGGTAAGTTTTTGGCTACAGGGTTGCTGGTGCCATGCCAGTCCCCGTGCAGTACACCCGTTTTACCAGGAGTCGAGCTGTCGGGAGAAAATCGTCTTGTACAAGATCTCAGACCAGCCACGAGGCACAGTGGGACCGACTCACCCATTAGCAGCAGACCCATACACCCTTTTAGCATGGGTCCCGGGAGACGGAATGGCTCTCTGTGCTGGATCTCAAAGATGCCTTTTCTATCCCTGGGGATCCTAGCTTCCATTACATGTTTGACTTTGAACAGGAAGATCCCCAGATGGGGCTTTGCCAACAGCGTACTTGGACTGTCTTGCCTCAGGGTTTTAGAGATACCACTTGTTTGCACATGCCTTAGCTCAAGACTTGAGAGACTTAAAGTTTTAAAAGAGAGGCCTGTTGCAGTACATAGAACCTTGTCATAGGTAGCCTCAAGGAGTTATCTGGTAAAAATACTGCTAAGGCTCTCAATTTTCTAGGAAAAAGGTATTACTAGGTGTCCCATCATAAGGCCCAGATTTCTCAACAAAAAGTGACCTATCCGGGAACTTTCCAACAACCCCCCACCCCCACCCTGAGTATAGAAGTAAAATTTTTCCACTCTCAGAGACCAATGATAATTGTAAGCCCCAAGTCTGCCCTGGTGACCAGGTCCCAAGCGAGGCCTGGAAGGAAGGTGGGCCCAGGACTAGCTCACCCGATGGAAAGGCCCTTACACAACCCTTTTAACCACACCCTGGGCCAGTAAGGTACCAGGAATTGTTAGTTGGATTTGCCCCTCCAGGGTAAAACCCAAGCTGCCTGAGACACCAGAAAATGAAAAAGAGAGAACACAAACCTTGAACACCTGTGAGCCATGGAACGACCTCAAGTTTCCTTTCAGAAAAGAAAACACCAACCAACCTGTTCAGCCACATAGGTAAAATATTTTGTTTTCTCTAAGTACATTGTGTGGCTAGTCTTCCTATTCTATTCTTTACTACACTGTGGTCCCCATCCCAAGTTATAACATGATCTCTTTGGTTTTCTTGGGATCCTCCTGGATGATTCAAAAACTGCCTCTACTAGAGATAATAAACAACTATTCCTTACACAAAACCTCAAAACTAATCACATCTTTCTCCTATCATCAACAGCTACCTAGGAAATTGGCAGACAGCCTAGACAAACTTACCAGGGTATTGTCATCCATCAAGATCAAACCGATTCGCTAGCAGCTGTGGCCATATAATATGTAGAGCTCTAGATCTCCTAACCCTCTAAACAGAGGAGTTATGTTTGTCTCTGAAAGAAGAATGTGGTTCCTATGTCAGTCCATCTGAAACAGTGAGAGATGTAACACAGGAGCTGGCTGACCATGCTTCTAAGATCTGTGAAGAACTGAGTCATGGATGTCCTGGCCAAGTATCTGGAATTGGGATTTTGGTTACTGTCCTAGATAGACATGGTTATTATTAATGCTTCTTATAACCTTACTCTTACATACTTGAGATCTTACATACTTAATCTCTTAGTCAAATTTGTTCTTGTTTACCAGCCATTAAACTACTGGTGATGGCCCAAGCCCAAGATCAAAACCTGGCTCCATGTCCACAGCTCATCAGAATATCCTGGGAGGAGAAACACGTCTCTCTTGAACTCTTATATCAGAAGGGGGAGAGTTCCTTCACCCCCCGAGGTAGGGCCAGTGTCCCTACTGAGCAGGAAGCATCCATGGAAGACAGACCTTCCTCCTTCAGCACCCCTTGAAGATTTTTGGGGACCAGGACTCTCAGAGGGTAATAGTGCAAGAAGCACAAGGGGGCTGGGAGACCACTTGCCTCTACCCCATTGAGTTTGGGCAAGACCCAGGGCAAATGCTCCTCCCTTGTTCCAAGTCACCTGGCAGGGTAAGCCCTGGAAAGCACACTTGTAGGAAGCCCCAACTCAGGATGACTCAGCCCTCTCTTAGTCATTCCTGTCAATCCTACCTAGAAACCAGTGAGAGGTACCTGGGCTGGGGCTCCTCCTTAAAAAAAAATTCGAAAGCCTGATTTTATCTCCGTGTGTGCTGTCTACTTCTCTGTCATCCCAGCACCATTTTTCTGTTTGTGCCACGATTTTCTTGGCACAGAGCTGTCCTGAGCAAGGTTTCCCTTTATCTTCAACAAATGCAAATGCTTTTCTTTTATCACTGGATGTACACTTGCAGTTTTTTGCTCATCCTACACAAGACCCTGGAATCTGTTTGTTGGATCCAGCCCACGACATCAACTGCAGGTGTGCATGTGCTTGGAGGTCAGGAGCCTCCTGCAGAGCATAAGTTAGCAGTCTCACTGCAGGGCTTCCAGTATGCAAAGCAGCATGCAAGGGAGAGGATGAGCAAGTGGCACCAGGGCAAGGAGAAACGGCCTGGCTTCAGGTTCAATGGGAGTGGGCGGCCCGCAGATCCAGTCCCAGCACTCGGTGGGGTTGGTGAAGTGCTCGGCCTGGGCCGGCGCTGAAACCCAGCACAGGAGGCTGAGAAATACTTAAGCTCCAACGTTGCTCACCTAGTGGATCAGTGTGTAAGGATGTGCTAACAAAATACCAGTCTAAGTGGTTTAAACAGTAGAAATTGGTTTTCTCTCAATTCTGGAGGCCAGAAGCCCAAGGTCAAGGCATTGGCAAGCCTGGGTTCTTCTGGGGCAGCTTTTTGGATAGCAAACAACTGCCACCTCCCTGTATCCTCACAATCAGCCCTCCAGTCTGTGGTACCTGTTCCCTGCTCTTTTCTTTTGAAGACGCTAGGACACTCGAGTAGGTCCACCCATAGCACCTGGTCTACCACGACTGTATCTCAGAGGCCTGACCTCCAAATGTAGTCACATCCCGAGGTGCCTGGGAGTCATGATTTCAACAGAAGAATCCCAGCAGCAAGATCCAGTGACCAGAACAAGGCTCGGGCTGGACTGCTCAGTCTACCTCAGCTCTAGGCAAAGCAGGAGAACAAAACATATTTTTGTTTGTGTAGAAGGGAAGAATGTTCACTGTAAATTTCAGTATTTTAAAAAACATCAAAGCAGTCGTCACAGAAGAAAACAATTTTATTGTATTTTCTTATATTAATGACAACAGAGAATTTTCAACTGGTCTCTATAGAAAAGTTCTAAACCAAAACACCATGTATATAGCCATACTGATTGCAAACTGGTAAGAACATGATCAGAGTTCTCCAGGTCTCAGTTTCCATAAATGTCCCCATAAATTCTAGCTCTTTTTCTTTTCTCACAGCTCAATAGAACTAGATACTGACAGGTACAAATTAAATTAGTGAAAAATAAAACAGAAATAAATGGTTCAAAAGCAACATAGAATATATCTTAAGCTATCAATGCCAACCAAATCACAATAAAATATACTTTCCTGGCATTGCATTAGTATGTTATAAAAACATTAAAAGAATAGAGGTGGTTCCTTTCATTTCTGTGCAATGGTGAAATCTCCCTGAGCACCAAACATTGTCAAGTTTAAACATTTGCTATTGCCATAGAAGTGTGATGTTGACATTTTTGGTTGCTAGGAGTGTCATAGCCATGGATATGGATACAATAGCATTCTGTTGGCTCTGATGTGGGAATTGTTAATCAGCAGGATTCTTTTTTCATATGCTGGTCCAGTAATAGAAAGTACAGATTTACCATGCAAAGCATACATGAAAATTTGAATTCACTAATCCAGATAAATAAAGCACTAGTATTTAAGGATTTATGTTTATAGATCTTTTTTCTTATTTAAAGCATTTTTAAGAGTAAAAAATAAGTTAAAGTTTTAAAACAGAGCAGACGCCCATCAGTAGCAGAACAGTTGAATATACTGCGCTGCGTGAACACCACGGAATACCATGCATCTCGAGAGGGGTAAATGATAGCTATGCCAGTTGACCAGAGAAAAAATCCTACCACATGTTGTCAAGAGAGAAAAACAAAATATATCAAATTAGGTGTATGTGCCAAAGTTCTTAGCAACGTTATTCACAATAGCCAAAATGTGGAAGCAAATCGTGTTCATTGACAGGGAATGAATCAACCAAATGTTTAGGGTGTTATTCCACTTTACAAAGGAAGGAAAGTGTGACACATGCTACGTTGAGAGAGCTTGCGGGCATTGTGGATGAATGAGCTAGTCACAGAAAAACAAGTGTTGCGTGGCCCACGCACAGGAGGGATTTACAGTTGTCAAATTCATAAAGACAAAAGGCAACATGGTGGGTAGTTAGTTGTTTCATGAGCACTGTATAGAGTTTCAAATTTGCAAAATGAAAGGAGTTTTGGAAACTGGCTGCACAACAATGTGAGCATCCTTAACGCTAGAATTTGCTCTTGCGAATAGTTAACATAGTACATTTTATATTATATATGTTTTGGCAATATAAAAAGTAAGTATAAAAAATTTAGCAGGGTGCAGTGATGTTGGGTGTCTTCCTCAGCCATGAGTAGTTGTAATGCATCTTGGAATTTATCCTTAACCACTAATGCTGGCAATGTCACCTTCAATAAACCTACAACCAAGCACTGAAGTTTGGTTGCCCACCTAACTGAACTCATAGTTCAATGGAAGGATCTATTTTGTTGCATCAATGTAGAAAATTTTGCCAAAATTTTGCAAAATATTTGCTCTTGAGAACGAATCTAAACCAATTTGCTTACTTATAATGATTGGATTATTTTAGGTGAAAGTTGGGTTGTTCCCTTCCCACAACCTTACCAAGGAGTCTCAGTTGGAATCCTGCTGCACATACACAGCTGTCTTAGCAAGAAGTCTCAGAGCATCATTCGCTCTGCTCTCCCAGCCTGATAAGGTGCACTCACAGAGGGAGTGAGAGTATTCCAACATCAGGTCTCAGTGAACTTTGGAGACAGAATGAATTTGCAAAATCCAGCAGTATTTCCTTCATATTGGTGAACCAGGTCTCTGCCTTCAGCCCAGGACTTTAGAGAGCCTCGAGTATCAGAAACACATAAAAAAATACATTTATGAGGGAACAAATGGCCCCTCTACCACTTGGGACCCAGCAGTCGGAGTTGGCATTGTGTGAGCCCTATACCACTCCAGGAAAATGTTTTCTGGGCTGTGGGAAAACCTCTGCTTGCCCTAAAATGCAAGGTTTCCAGGTCAGAGACAGAAGCTGTTGCAGAATAAGGAGTTTATTTTGCTAATTGAATACAATTTGATTATATTTTAAAACCTTTTGTTTAAAATGTTAAATTTGTGTGCGTAATTGTGACTTAAATTTTGAAATTAATTCAAATTTAGATTTAATTTTATGACACACTGATTATCTTATGAATTAAAAACATGAACATAACTTTAATTTTTCAATGTTTAACATTTTAATAGCATTTTAGAAATATTCAAATTTGTTTTTTAAATACAATTGCTTTGAATACAACTACATTTTTAATATTTTGAAGAATATTATCAATAAAACACAGATTATGTGACAATTTGATGATAACAACCTAACTAGTGACTACTGAAATAAAGAAAAGGAAAAACAATTCTGTGAAATAAACACATAATGAGTTATTCATCTTCTTGGTCCTTACTTTATTAATCATTTGAAACTTCTGCTTAAACAACAGAACATCAGGCTTTATTTTCTGGGTTGTACAAGCTATTGGCAACTGATCTAGAGGCCCAGTTTGGTCAAGACTACACTCTTTTTAGCCAATGCACACATCCAGAACTTCATTTCACCAAAAAATTTTTAAAAATTCATTCCCAAATCCCTTATCCCAGTTAACAAAACTATTGGCACTTATTTAATTACAAAATTAAGATAATGCCTTCAAATAAGCATGCAGTAAGTCTTTCAAATGCCAAATAACCATGCATGGTTCATGCATTCATAATTAGGGAATTTCAACACCTTGGGTGTTGATGACAATTAACTATCACACTGTGTTACTGTTTGAGTAGTGGTATTTTAATGTAAATTATAGTGATTATAACAATCACCATATATAAGGCCTGTAAAAAAATCAAGAGTTGTGCCATTAATTAGCAATTCTTTCATGTGTAGCAAGCCCTGGATTCAGACAAACTTCAACTTTGATCCAGAAAGCCAGTATACCATTCAGTTCCGTCCTAGGCCACCTTTTCAGAGAGACAGCAGCCTGAGGCTTCATTTGATTTCAGCTGTGCTGCATGGCACTGTGAGGACACAGGTGAGCAAAGATGTCTCTCCTTTAGAGCCAGCACCCGGATGCTGCTCAGACAGAGTAGGTGGCTAAAGTTTTAACAAGTTAAAAGTACTTCTGTCATCGCCACCTCGCCATGTATCTGAGACAAGTGGCTACCACTTCTTGGAAGCCAATTTTCCAGTTTAATCGAATTTTGAAGGTAGGAGGAGACTAATGTACTCAAGCCAGGAAAATTACTTATTTAATCTTTGCAGGAGTACAAAGATCTCTGTTGTCAAATGATTTGAACAGTATAAGATCACTTAGACCCCATTATTATGAAAGCAGAATCACAAGCACCTTCTATCTTGACTAGCACCTCCACTTGGAACAAGAGTGGTCCCAAGGGAAGGGAAATTAGAGCCCTAACGTGATTCTACTCTAGTGGGAATGACCAAAGAAGCCATTCACTGTAGTCTTTCACTAACCTGCTGTCTTTTTAATGCTCTCAGGACATTTAATTTCCTAACCTTGAGTGTTCTTTCTTCTCAGCATCTTTCTACTTAGCAGCTGGCTGTTGGGCTGCCTTTGGAGGAGTTGCCATACAAAATGTTGCTTAATTTGACAATAACTGGGAGAGGAGAGTGTTGCAGCAGTTATCCTGGTTTGCCTGGACTGAGGGAATACTGGGGACAAGACTTTCAGTACAAAAATAAGAAAAATCCTGCACAAACCAGACCAGCTCATAGCCCTAATTGGGTAACTGGTTGGATTCTTTCTATCCTAGCAAATTCAGCCCAGAATAGAAGTTTAGTGCAGCAAAGTTCCAGCTCAAGCCTGGTACAAGTTGTATTAATGCATTTCCTACATAAACTCCTCTGACTAGTGCCTGTTGTTTGCAAGTTTTAGCCTTAGAAAAGGGGAGGTTAAAAAGAAAGAAAGACGAGAGAGAGAGAGAGGGAGAGGAGAGAGAGAGGGAGAGAGGGAGAGAGAGAGAAAGGGAGGATCTTGTTTGATCTCCTGAAAGTTTTAAAAATTAACTTTCACAGTCTTGTAGCTAGCTGGCCACTTGCTGAAATGCCCACCCAAGGTGGAGTCCTTAAGCATTTTGCCTCTGCTATTTGTTTTGAAGCCATAAACGACCTCAAATCTGAGCCCCTAGGACATTCCATTAACATCTGGCATTTCCAGTGTTCTGGTATTTGCTCAGTACTAATACCTGCTCTGATATATGTTCCTTGGTTGAGGTATGCTTTAAGCTATCTTCTCTTTAAATTTGTCTTTTGTAAACAAAAAGGTTTAAACTGACTGAGACCTAGTAAGTTGAAAAGGGTTTCTTTATTATGAGGTAGAATCCATTGTATCCCAAGGATTTTAAAACGCTGAAATTTATTCAACAAATATTTTTTGAGTACTTCCTTTGTTATTACCACTGTATTTAGCTCTAAGGATAGGAGAGTAAACAAGACTAGCAGTCTGCCAGGCTAATGATTTCTGCATGGTAAATGAACAATTGCAGTGCGCTAATATGAAAGTCAAAGGGCTTGGGATTTAGTTCAGCAGCACCATGCCTGCCTGGCAAGAGTAAGATCCTGAGTTCAATCCCTGGTACTGGAAAAAAAAACGGAGCCAAAAATAATACGAAAGTCAAGTTCAACAAGCTATGAGACCACACATGAGGAACAGCTAATCCAGATTAGGGGGTCATGGAAGATTAAATGTATGGCTCACATTACTGGTTTGTTCCAACCTAGACTTTTGGATCCTGCAAAATTATCTTTCAAAATTGATGGGGAAATTAGATACTTGCATGACAAAGAACACCTGAGAAACTTCATGAAAACCAAACCAGCACTCCAAACAATTCTGAACAATATCCTAGAAAAAGACAATGAGGGTCATAACTCCATGAGGCTCAACAGAGCAAAGCCATCAGGCAAGGCAAGAAACTAAAGGGAAAGGGGGAAACATAAAAAATAAAAGAGCCAACAACAGTAAAATAACATGGCAAGGATGAATCAATATTTATCAATTATAACCATCAATGTTAATGGCCTCAATTCACCAATCAAAAGAAATAGACTGGCAGAATGGATTAAGAAGCAAAATCCAACAATATGCTGTATACAAGAAACACAGCTAACTCAAAAAGAAATTCATAGACTGAAAGTAAAAGGATGGAAAACAGTTCTCCACATGACAGGAACCCAGAAAAAAAGCACGGGTAGCAATCTTATTTGTAGACAAAGTAGATTTCAAACCAAAACTAATTAAGAGAGACAAAGATGGTCATTACATCCTCGTGAAGGGAACAGTCCAAGAGGAAGAGGTGACAATCATAAATATATATGCACCAAATACAAATGGCCCCAACTATACAAAACAAATATTAATAGACATGAAAAAGCAAATAAGCTCTTATACAATTCTAGCGGGGGAACTTAATACCCCACTGTCACAAACAGATAGATCACCTAGACAAAACATCAGCAACGAAATAATAGAAGTGAACCAAGCTTTTGAACAAATGGACTTAATAGATGTCTACAGAGTGTTCTACCCCACAAAATCAGAATATACATTTTTTTCAGCTGCACACAGGTCATTCTCCAAATACACCACATGCTAGCTTATAGGACATGTTTCAGTAAATGCAAAGGATCTGAAGTTATCCTATGTATACTATCAGACCACAATGTAATAAAATTGGAGATCAATAGCAGAAGAAACAGGGGCGGGGGATTTAGCTCAGTGGTTTTGCTGCCTGTTGTTCAAGTTCAAGGACCCAAGTTTGATCCCCGGTACCAAAAAAAATAGCATAAGAAACTGCAAAAACACCATAAACACATGGAAATTGAACAACACTCTCCTGAATAACTAATGGGTCACAGAGGAAATTAAAGAAGAAATTAGACAGTTTCTACAAGTAAATGACAATGCCAGTACAACATACAGGAATCTATGGGACACAATG